CCAGGACAGACTCCACCAGGACCAGAGGACATGACGCAATTCAAAACCTGGAACTCCCAGCGTTTTCCCCGGCCACGAATTCGAAATGCCAAACTGCGACCGGTTAATATCGTCCGGATAGCAAGGAGTCCAAGTTTAAATTTCGTCCCAGTTTTTTCCCCGACCAGGGCCTCAGGTACTGAAAACCGTCAGGCCATCAAGATTGAACTGCTTCTCGCCCGACCAAATAATTCGACCTTAGCCTGGAAGAGAAGCTAGATGTTTCTTGGCATGCTCGACACGGGCCTTCTTGTCGCGTTCGGTGAGGGCTGACATGGGTTTTCCCTTGACGTAGCTAATTTGGGGGCTTGAAGGAGTCGCCGTTGGCAGACATGGGTTTTCGCTTGACGTAGCTAAGGTTGGGGACTTGAAGGAGTCACCGTTGGCATGTTCTAAGAGAGACATCCAGGTTCATGCTCGCTTTATGGCTACGAGCCGACAAGTCTGTGTTGGATGCCTCTTGAATAAGCAAACGGTACTCACTTCCGATGAGAAGACCTGCTTTTCTTCCCTTGATCTTGTTCCATAATGCTCAGGGTCCTTGAAGGCGCGGACGGCCTTCAGTGATTGTGAAATCTAGACAGAAATGGCTAGGATGCTCAATCCATGCTTGCGGAGAGCCAAAACCATACCCTGCTCCATGGGACTCATAAGAGATCCCAGGCCCATAGCCTCAAGGAGGAGGTGCAGTTGATAGGTTCTACATAGTGTTGGTGAGGATTAGATATCGCCAGGACAGTTGCATTCACCTCCAAGGCGGAAATTCCTGAATGGGTCTATTCAAATGGCGCGTGATTTGGAATCTGGTCAGCCGGATTAGAGAAACTGGTGCGCGACGGGCGGCAAAACGCTGGGCACTGCTATTGTCCAATCATAGTCAACTAATTCTGACGTTCGAAGCAGCTCAATCGGTCATTGGTCAAAAGTGACTCACGAAAAGGTCGCTTACTCCGTTCCAAAATAATTGCGCGAATCAGGAAATGGATGAACGCCTCGAATAAAAACTGAAACCCTCCAATATCAAATAATCCAGAATGTATTTATACAGGTGTAACGATACTTTTGTCCAATCAAAACTTGTGAAATCCGTGTCTCAGGACATATCAAATGAAGGCTTTGACCGCTTTTGACACTTCCATTCGATTCAGGAAGGGGGTTTACCGGGCGAACTTGTTTGCGTGAGTCAGCAATGGTTTTATCGCGTTGGAATGGGAACGAAACAAGCCCATTTTAAGGTATCGGTGCAACGACCCCAAACTTATTCCTATTGTGAGACCAGACACGATGTATTCACTATAAGTTATCACCTGTGCGTTCCGAAATCGATCGTAGTGTTGTGCGT